AAGCACGCTTCTTCACTAGATGGCAGTAAAGCAGATACACTTCAAGCAAATTATACCTCGACTGCATCTCAGATTTTATAATGTGACCTTTCTGAACTCATGATGTCATCTGTTTTCAGCACTTTTAACTTCCAGAGTGCAACTGGGGAGAAAGAGCAATCTAGGCATTACAAAACAGGACAGGATGCTTATACATCCTCATCTCTTCTACTCTTTCCTCAATGATAAACATATAATTTGAAAAACATTCTAAATTTCTCAGAGCTGTCACTATATAAATAAAACAAAGAAACAAACTCTAAACAAAAACCACACTTCCCAGTCACTTCTTATCAACAAACTTTCCAGATAATATCTCTTCTTCTACTTACAAAGAAAGCATACACTACGCCTCACTACACTTCAGGAGTGCTACCAGACCACAGGGAAAAGGCAGCCAGAGCCTGAACTCTGAAAAAGACTGGCGGTTCACTACAAACAGAATGCCAGCTACGGAACATAAATTTTTCTCAAGTTAGAGAAATGGGAAGTTTTAGCTGGACAATCAAAGTAAAGGTTGTATTTTAATTACTCAGTCACAGTTGAAGGAACTTCCATTTGGCTAATCCACAAAGAAAACGACTGGTTCAAATATCTTTGGGGACACTGCATGTCACTGCTTACATGGCCCAATGAGACCAGAGAAAGGCAAGAGGGAGGCCAGAGAAGAGCCTGGGCAGATGAAAGATGCAGTAAGAAGTGGTGAGTGTGCGGGGCCTTAGAATTCTGAGGAGCTTTCATCCCATCCACACTTTCCTCCAAGTTTCCTGGGTACTGGGACTGGTGTTACGCTGTGATGGTACAGAGAGTAGAGTCTACACTTTAAGAAGGGACAGTTAACAAGAACAAACACTGCCAAGAGGCTGAAGGGGATGGGCCAGAAAAGGCCTATGGTTCATGACCACTGGCGTCCTGTGAGAGGGTAGCTCATGGAAGCCAGATTGCAGGAGGTTGGCACCCGGATGGTAAAGGGAGGTATACTGTCTTGTTATTGACGGATGGCATGGATAGAAAGAAGGCAGGTGTATTCAGGAGAGCAGGCTTCAGGGATGGTTTAGAGACTTCAAACCAAAAAGTTAAACTGGAAAAAAGTTGAGGGTTATGAAAGCATTTTAAAAATAATTTCTTAATCTAGAAAACACAAAAAGTCATTCCCCTAAATCCAGTAATTCCATTGTGGAACATTCGCCTAGGAAAACAGTCAGACTGGGATGATAATGGAAGAACTAGAGCTCTTTATTCTACACATTTATATGGAACTTAAAGTTTTTACAATAAGTGTGTATTAATTTTTAAGCAAAGAAGAGCTGTAGTACTGAAAAGGGGGAAAATCTGCAAACCTCTACACATAAAATATTCACAATACTGTATAATAACAGAACATAGGAAATTACTTCAATGTCCAATACTAGGGGTATGAATAAGAAAATAAGGATATAATTATTCAATTTTTACAACAAACCAAAAAAAGTCATGAAAAGTACGTAATAACATAAAAAAAATCTCAGTTTAGTGAGGCAAAAAAGGCCAATAATGTGATAATGTAGGCTATGATTACATTATGTAGAAGTAGGCATAGGAAAACTGACTGAAAAATAAACTGCACACACCAAAAACCATGACTAGAGTTGTGTTAGCATGGTGGCATCTAGGCGGCTTTCTCTTGTCCACTTCCTAAGTTTTGCAAAAACATGTTTTTACTCCTGCTTTAATTTCTAACAGAAAGATGCAGGCCACAAAAGTAAAGCCATAGACAAACTGTCAGAGGAGCGAATGAGGGCTGGGAGGAGAGCGCAGCCCCCCGCCCTCCAGGGAGCCACCGCCAGAGTGCGGCAGAGCCACGCCCATGTGCCCACCCTGGCTCCACGGACCTCACTGTGCCTGTTATCTCACGGAAAATGAGTGTTTTGGAACACATAATCTCTGAAGTCCCTTCCAAGTTTAAAATGATATGATTCTAAGTTGAAAAAAAAGTCAGAAGACAGAGAACGGACAAGAGAAATTAGTGATTCCTCCAGTCTCCCAGGTAACAGGTAGTATACAGATTGGTGGGGGGAGTCTGTGTATTAAGTTCTAATGCTTATTTCAGACAAACAATGTAAAAGCACAACAGTGCATTTAATGAAATACTACATAACACCTTCTAATTTTAAAAGATGCTAACAAATTAATGGGATGGAAAATACATGACTGTAAAGTTAAAAATTATTTCAAAGTAAAACAATATAGAACAAAAATGTTTAGGTAAGGCTTCAGAGCTGCATGATTAGCTGCCGCTAATCACTACTCCAGGAGTTACGAGAAGGGCAGATGTTGGGGCTGGCCTGTGGAATAGCAGAGGTTAGGGGCTACAGCACTACAGACAACTGTTGGGGGGGACATGACTTGAGTTGGATCTTAAAAGAATAGCGACTGATTTCTGTGTGGAGTGATGAAAGTGTTCTGGGGGGCAGTTACATAGCCTCATGAATATGCTAAAATTACTGACTTATGTATGCAGCTTAAAAAGGTGAATTTTATTATATATGAATTACAACTCAATTTTTAAAAAACGATGTTGTCAGAGGTAACTAGAACAGTGTGGAAAAAGCTAAAGGTACACTGAGTAGAGTAATTAAGAGAAAGGTAGGCTGAAAACAATTTCAAAGGGTTCAGAGCTTTAGGAAAAAGTAATTGGAATTTATCATCCATGAGATAGTAAGGGAAGCAAAGACTCATGAAAAAAAGAATGGATGCTCCAAACCTTTGAGAATAATGTCTGTTTCTTCTACTAGAAAAAGAAGCCTTGGGTAAGAGGCATCCAGGTCTATTCTGTGGGTGAGTTTGAGTGAAAGAGTATTTAAGGTCACCCTGATGCTGTGTAAAAAGAAGGGCAAGGCAGAACCCAGACTAGGGCAACAGCAAAGCTCATGTGAGAAAGATCATTCTAGGCCTAAGCAGTGGACTCTGAACGAGGAACATTTATTCAGAGGACTCAAAAGATGTGAAGAAACAAGAGTTCTGGCAGACTTTGCTCTGTCAGTTGTATGCAATATACTCAATAGGTTTAAATGCAAAACTGTTGCACAGTTTAGCTCCAAATATAAAAACAAAGCCTCTGAACAGATTCCACTTACACTGTAAGACAGAAAAAGGAAAGGAAGAAGAAAAATAAGAGAAACACAAAGGAGCAGAAGAGACAGAAAAAGGGTGAAATGGACGCTGTCTCTGTAAGAAGCTCCTGGGAGATACAGAGCTATAGAACGCCTGGTGAATACTACACTGACTCGGAATGAGGCAACCACAAACACCGCTGTCTCAAATGAAAAGGGATTCAAGATCTGACCCAGCAAACAAGCATCGTAACCACCAGATAAAATTTTAATGATAAACACAAGATGCTCTACATACAAGACTGAAGTATCTGATGCTAAGCCATAAATGCAAGGTTCTCTTAGAAAGAGGAGCCGTGAGTAGCCTCTCTGACCCATGGATCAAGTTTCATCTTATTGATCCACAAAACTCGGCCACTGCTTTGCTTTGTGCTGGCATAATCTGTCATGTTGAGCAGACCTCAAGGGACTAGAGAGGCAGGAAAAGAAGGACTGGCATCTGGACTCGTGGCCAGCCCGTTTTTTCTGAGGTTCCTGTCCAGATAAGAAATTCATAATTGACTTTTGCGATTAAAGTCTCTTTCATTTCTAATTTCTTTTATGACTCTTTCAGTCCAATCTCAACACTATCCTCAGAGATGTTCTGACTCACTAGAAGACCTGTTGAAGCTAGAATGATGTAAGTTCCTTTTGGTGTTACCATGGAATCTCAGAATTAGTGGGTGGAAAGCACCTTACATATCATAGCTCTTACGCCCACATTTTAGCAATAAGAGGCAGAAGCCTAAAGCCACACCCATAACTAGATGGACAGAATTCCAGATTTCTGGTCCATTAATCTTTCTAAAAATTAATAGTTCCATAGTACTCTCAAGAAAGATGTTTAACCTCTAAGTGTGGCCAGTAACCAAAAGCTAAGGAAAGGGTTCCTCCTGGGCATATCTTGTTTAAAGCAAACATTCTTTTACACAGACATTATATACCAAAAAATAATAAATAACCTGTTTGGAATTTCAATTCAAATGGTGCTCTTTAAGGAATACTAAAGAAAGATACTCACCTACCACTAAATAGACAAGCCCAAGATTTGTTTTTATTTTCGTCCAGGTAGGAACCTCTCTTGGGTGGCTCAATCCAAAACCAATCCAGACTCAGAGGTCTGAATGTCCTGGGCTCTACTCTATGGCATTAAGTATACAAAAATTTGAGACTGTAGTTCAAAATGTCTTCCAAATCCACAAAGAGGAAATTGATCTTCTCATCGTACATCAAAGAAATACTCAAAACATATCTCTGTAGTAAAGCAGGAAGAATTCATGAAAGTGGTTTTTGGAACAGAAGCCAAAGGTATTTACAGAAGCTTAAATTAAATTTCTTGGCCACAGTAACAAATAAAAAGCCTATTTCAGGACAAGTTAACTAGCAAATACGTACTATGTGGTAGGGAGGTAAGATCGTGTGTGGCCACAGCCCTTCCTCATAATAAAGGCTTCAGAACAAGAGAATAAGAAGAGACCCTTTTTGTGCCAACACATATTATTCTTGCTTGACTTTTTTATGTCTTCATAAAATACACAGTCTGCCTTAATGAAAATCTAACATAACAGCCACAAGAGTGATTTAAAAGCTAGGAAAGACATATTGAGAGAAATGGACTACAGGTCCATGCCACACCATCCGCTTCTCCCCACTAACTTCAGAGCTCTCAAACACTGAAGAACAGAATCACAGAGATTTCCCATCTCAAACATGGGCTGTAAGGGGGAAGGTACATTCTCTCAATGAGGTCACTGGGACTGAGATGGTGGTACATGAAAAATGAGAGACCTTAAGATAAAGAGTATAAAGTGAAAAATTGTTTTTGCTTACCCAGCAATGACCACACCATCATGAGAATGTACATCACATAAAACCGCATCAGGAATATGTTCCAGTTCACTCACGGCACCTTTGCGATTCTGTGTAAGGAATGGAGGGATGAGGGTTATATTATTCTTGGGATAGCCAGAGGACAAAGCATTTCCCTTTTTCCTACATTTCATAGTGATCTTTTATGACATGTATTGTGCTCTGAGTTATCTGGGTTTTCAAAAGGACAAATATGACAACTAATGGGTTAAGCTATTAGCATTTATGAGTTACTACCACACAGAAAGCACTGAACCAGAGGATACAGCATGTGCAAAACGCCGCTCCTGTGCTCAAGGGGACTACAGGACGGAAAGAAAATATGTGAGCACAAATAACTACAGTCCACGGAAGGCTGCTAGTGGCAAGTATCTGAAGATATGTATGAAGCATATAAAAAAGTTTAATTCAGAGATAGTATTTATTGGTATTTTACCTGTTAGCAACCCCTGTAAGTACTCAGAATAAAATTAAAAAGTATATACAAAGAGATCAAAATCAGGATGGGGAGAAGAAGACAAAGTTTCTGCTTGAGAGTTCAGAGGTTCATGGAAATGGTATGTAAAGGAAGCCCTAAAAGCCATAACACAGGTTATGGCTCCTGAGGAGGGAACTAGGTGGCAGGTGGAAAAAGGTGAGGGAGGTGTATTTTTCACCACACGCCCTTTAGCGACTTTTGAATTATTTGTACCAAGATCACAGTTATAGATGCAAAAACTACATATGAAATAATTATTTTTATAATAAAAATAAGGGGAATATGGAGCAATAGAAAGCATTGGGATGTTGGGAAAAGCAGGACATTTAAGCCAAAAAGCAAGTATGAATAAAGGTCCTCAAGAATACCACATAATCTGTAATTTCAACTCTGCTGCACTGGCACAAAGATTAGACACAGAGTATGTATGTGCCAAGCAGAGTTCTCAGCATATAGCCTGTGTTCAATAAATGGTGACTATTATTACTTATATTATTAGGAGAAGGATGATGACATCCATTCCATTAAAATCAACACAAAGCAGCTATATTCCAGGCACTGTGCAAAATAATCTGCATGATTTCACTTAACTCGAGGGCTAAGTCCAAGGCCAAGGGACAAAACTGGACACATCTAGAGTGGAGCTGTCATACTAGTGGAGATGTGTGGATGGGAGGGCAGGACTTGGGGAGTCATCTGGGTAGGGCCACAGCCAAAATTACAATAGAGAAGCTCTTTTGAGGGAAAAGGGATTCAAAGAAAAGGAGAAGGCCTGAGATGAAAGTACTGATGACAGTTACTAATTCTGTCATGCGGCTGCCCTCCCATTTGTGGGCTCCAAGCCCACACTGGCACTCTGGTGTTAGAGAGATCCTGGAGTGCCAGAGTGAAAGCATTCATGCAAACACCAGGCGAAAGAGCCACGACAACCAGGTCATCAAACTGTCACCATGTTGGTTCTGAACTGCAGGCCTGAGTAAGTTCATGAATTTACAGGTCATTCCCTTTGTGGAGGTACCTGAGAACTCTGGGGTCCCTCCTGGGCTCCCCAGATGCTGACCTAGGAGGAACCAAACCAAATCACCTGCCCAAACCATCCTGAAGTCAGCCACAAACAGCACTAAACCACACTATGCATCTGTGAAGGCCTGTGAGTCCCTGTGGCCAATGCTGAGCACTGGTCGCAGGCCGCGCTCTTCAGGAGGCGTGGTTGATGTGTATCATTACAGCCATCCTCACCACAGCCCTGTGAGCAGGTTGGCCTGCTCTCAGCCTATTTAGAGATTAAATATCAGGGGCACACAGAGGTAAAGTAATTTGCTTTAACACTGCCTTTCATGTTTTGACGGGGCTTTCTTTCTAGAATCACAGTAAGAATCCCATCATTACTTAAGGCTTGTTACTGAAGACTCGTCATTTGCCACGTCATGTAAGTGTTCCTCACTGTTAGCAGTGTCAGGAAATGGGCCAAGCCACTCCAAAGAGGAGCCTCCCTCACAGTCTACCTGCAGTTTGACTCCAGTCCCCTTAATCAACGACTATTGACATTTACTGAACAAATGGCTTTGTGCTCGACAGAGAAAAAAGAACAATAGATGTTCAGTTAAACTGTATGTAACTTGTACACTGTTACTAAGGGCTAGGTCTTCAAATCCCTGAGTTCTTCCACCTCTGACCTGGCTGAAGGGGGTGAACCTGCCTCCATTCCCAACTTTCTCCATCACCAAAAAGGAAACAACTTAGCTGTTGCTTTCTCTCCCAGGGTTTGATGGCTCTAAATCTGAGCCAGGGTACATGTCTCCAGTGATCACGATCACAAATCTCAGAGTATCTCTCTTTTTCAGACAAAAGGCCCTACTTAATGCCTGACTCTGAAGCTGTCCTCAAATTACAGCCCCTCCTACCTGGGTCAGACCCTCTGCTTTCTGGTCCCAGCTTCACTAAGCAGTTTTGTGAAAACCTCCTGTTTTCCTCTCACTTGCACACCCTCACACACACAGGGAAGATGGCTGGGAGGCCTCCCTCCAAGTTTACTACCTGGTGTTGATGCAAACGGGGCCAGTGTGATTTTTACTTGGTGGTGGTATCTTCACGGTCTAAGAAAGGATAATTATGTTAATTCTCCTTAGAACAGTGGTTCTCAATCAAGGGCGATTTTGTCCCGAGGGGACAGCTGACAAGTCGAGACACTTTTGGTTGCCACAACTTGGGTCAGGAAGAGAATGCTCCTGGCATCTACCGGGCAGAGGCTGGGATGCAGCAGAGGACAGCCCCCCGCAGAAATGATTACCCCGCCCCAAACGTCACTAGTGGCAGGGCTGAGAAGCCCTCAATTAGAGAGACACTGCCCTTATTAACTTTGCTGGGATCTGTGTGATGCTGCCCAGATGAAGGGTATTGGTCACTAATCAGGTTATGAGGTGACTGGGGGCAGACATGCACATAAGGCAATATGTCACCATCAGCAATGAGCAAAAGCTTGTTAATCTCAAAGTCTATTAGGACTGACCTTTACAGGAGAAGAAGGGAAACGGTTCCTTCCCTCCCACACAACTGAATACCCAGTTACCCAGGTGGGAAGAGCACGGCCACCATGCTGCCGTCTTGCCGTGTCTCTAACAGCTTTATGTAACGCTGTTCTTGACAGTTACTTCCTACAGAGACACTTCACCATGCAAATTCTTAGCTGTGATCTAATATTTCTGTAGAGATTGTGCAGTGATAAGTGGAAGCAAGCCAACAGGTTATGTGAGGAAAGAGAAGATGGTACTTGGAGATGCTTTATAATCTTTCTTTACATTGACTGGAAACGACATTTTGGGCTCCTCTTCTGTATTTGCTGTCTTGGCCCATCAGAGGATTGGTGAAGTTGAAAGTGGGTTGCACTGAGCACTACTCCAAAGACCCTAACCATCAGATGGGAGGTGAATGCCACTGCAATCTCACCCCTCCTCTCCTAGACAACACGATGTTCCCACATAGTGTGGTTGAAAATGGAGGCAGACACTCCAACGGTGAACAAAATGGGCAACAAACCACCAGCAGCAGAAGGGACATTCACTATACTCTCTCTTTGCTTTTGGCAGTTAACCTCAGGCTGTAATTGCAGGGACTTGGTATTTAATCCAGGGCTTGGATTCCCATTTCCTTGTAGGCTCTTATACAGGTAATGATATTGGCCACCACTTACCTTCCAGTTGGTTCTTAACATGTGTTCCCTGGCTCGGCACTCTTGGAAGATGAGCTTCCAGCAAGAATAATCAGAGATGCTGCTCTCAGGGAGGTGCCCTTCCTGCTGGCACAGCCTGTACCAGAGCACTTCATCTTCTGCGATCACCTTCCACGTCTTGCTCACCTAAAACACAGCAGAAGTGACACAAATCTCAAATCCTCCAATTAGAGAGGCCCCTTGTCATCCAAAAATCAATCAACACCTTTATTACTGCCCTGGGTTTATGGCAATATAAATGTCTCGTTAACAAAACACTCCAAGGTGAAAAAAATACAAGCAAGTGTTTCCAGTTTTATCTTTCAAGATTTCAAAATTGTTGTACTACCATATAATATCACATTTTGGACTACTTGGATAAAGTGTTATGTAACAAAAAACCCCACAAAAACACACTAAAGACAAAAAACACACTGTAACACGTTAATAGCTATGCAATCACACGGAGCTTTTCAGACGTAATCTCTTTACCAATAGGCACCTGTATCTCATATTCTAGAATTGGAGACTGATGGCCTCTGATATAAAAGGCTGTAATAAATATCCATAACTCAAAACTTCTGGTTGTATGAGAAATTCAAGTTTATATTTTATGCAAAAACTTAATTTTAAATATCTGATTTTTAAAATATTTAATAGAAAACTCAAGCTGTTAACCATGACTCTAAGACCTGATACATAGAGATTAATGTTATATCTGAACTGAGTTTCAAATCCCAGTGGTATCCAAAGGGAATGGCCATTTGA